CTTTGATACCTAGTTTTGTTAAACCCTCCTCCTATGGCGCAATCCTTTTTAAAATGTCCTGTTTGTTGACATTTGTAGCATGTTCTTGGCCTGGCATATAAAGCCTGTTTTACTGCAGCTGTCACAATTTGCCCTTGTTCATTAATGTCTCTGGCATCTAAAGCTTTGTTCATTAATGTCTCTATATAATTTAATATATGTGTTTAAATCTTCCTGTTTCCATGGTCTAATGATATCTCTGCACCAATGATTCGCTTGGTCATAAGCCAGTTGTTTTATTAGTGGCATTGCTTGTTCTGTATTCCCAAAAATTCTGGTAGCTGTTTGAATAAGCCTATCTACAAATTCAGCGTAAGGTTCATTAGCTCCTTGTATTACCTTAGATAACTGACCTTGTAAACCTTCATGTCCTTGTAAAGTCTTCCATGCCCTAATCGCCTCTGCAGCAATTTGTGAGTATACGCCAGGATCATATGCAATTTGTTGCTGCTGATCCTCATAAGGTCTCTTTCCTAACAACATATCTAGATTTCTCTGAAGATAACCAGCTGCTGCATTTTGCCTAGCCATCTCCTTGCAAAATTCCTCATTGGCAACCTTCCTTAACAGGTATTGACCTCCATTTAGCACAGCTTTACACATTTTAGCCCAATCTGCTGGTGTCATGTTCAAGTTGTTAATGGATTCGACTAAGCTTACAGTGAAGGGTGCTTGAGGACCATAGGTTGTTACAGCCTCTTTTAGCTCCTTCACTGTTTTGAAATTTAAACCCTGGTAAATTCGCTGCCCTCCTACCTCAAATACAGGGCATGTTAATACTTGAGATCCTGTCTCAGGATCCCAACTATCAACTGCAGGGGTTGGGGGCCTCCTAGCATATGGAGGTGGTGCTGTTGATTGGACACTTATGCCCTCTGGTGATAGAATGTTGTTAGTAGCAGTCTCCTGTAGAGGTGGTGCTGTTGGTTGGACACTTACGCTCTCTGATAGAAAGGTGTTATTAGCCTCTACCTTTGTCGAATTGAAGGCTTTGGACTAAGCAAACCAGATATGAACATCCACAATGGCAATGTGCCAACTGGCAGAGTCCCTGGGTTGTTCTTTTCTATTCTTTTTAAATCTTCACCATGATGGTTCCATTGTGATATATTTAACAACTCCTCCTTAAAAAGCCATGGGCTACATTTTTGTATTGTATCAGCTTATGCCCTGACTGTTCTTGATTTTACTGAGATGCCTCCTTCCTCTAAGAATTTACTTAACAGTCTTTCGGTTTGTTTTTTACTAATTGCTGATCCTGTATTTCTACTATAATACCTATAATGCAACCCAACAAGATAACACCAAACAAAACCGAGACAGAATGAAATAAAATTGGAACAAAAATTCATTATATCAGCTTTTCTATCCTCCTGAAATGTGCATCCGTCCTTTCTATCTGTTCCTCAGACGCAAATAGTTTTTCCTCAGATGTGAGCGGTTTTTCTTCC